AATAAAGACTTAAAGTACTAAAATTCTAATAAAGATAGGAAAAAGAATTTCAAATTAAATAAAATAAAGAAAATAAAATCCTAAGCTAACGAAAATACTAATTAAAATAAAATTCTTGATGCGCCTGCATCAACCGGGAAATCTGGACCTTTCCAATTAAACTTTATTTGCATAACTGGTCTTGGCCATAAAAGAGTGAATCACTAGAGGAAAAACCTTATTTGAAAGATTCCATAAACTTAACAGAGCTCTTTGTATTCTTTAAAAATGAAACAAGAAGAATCTATTTAAGTATCATTCAGGTGTCATCTCTTTAATCACCTTTTGGGATATTTTATATTCTTCTGCTGTAACAAAAGTCAAGATGCAAACACAAAAAGAGGAATACCTGCTTTTTCAATCTTAAAGTTTCTTATCTTCCAAACAGTCTCACACATCATTGCCACACCAAATGTACAACAATATCATATATATGAAAAACGATTGCCAATCTCCATAAGGTTATTGATACTGCATGGAAATAGAAATGTAGCAGTACAATTTCACAACCGCGTTATATTTCATCCTCCTCAAAGGGATCTCGTTCAGGATAGTCACCAACCTGGAAATGACAGGAAAATGCCATTCTAAGTTTCAAACCGCTAAAAGCAGTAGAACATACAAAGGACTGTAGGCCTCAAATATTACATTGACAGAGCATTCCTCTTGGACTTTGGATAAGAAAAACAGTTAAGCTGTGTATTAAACACATCTGCAAAATCTATTCTTTTACTAAAAAAAAGAAAAAAAGAAAGAAAGTAGAGAGTCGATAGGTTGGCACTAGGATAGGTCTTAGATCCAAATCTTTCAGAAAAAAATGAATTACTTACTGGCTTCCCTAGAGTATAATCTGCAAAGAATAATATCCACGACATTTATCCCATTTTTTAATCAGCGTATCATTTTGTATGTCCCATCCACTACCATATATCAATTAGCACTCAATTTTACTTTTGCTTTTCTATATGTAATTATGCTACAAATAACAATTAGAAGAAAACACAAAATAAAACAAATAAACTGTTAAGGTTAAAGAACTAGAAATATAGTCAATGAATTATAATGTAGTAAACTTGCTTTCTCAAACTTTGTGCAATTCCATCATGGACTAACAAATTGGGACAGCGGGAATAGAAAATTCACTATAACTTTCATTTACCATAAATCAAAAGTTTTGAAAGAAATGGAATGGAAAGGGTTGAAGGATCTGCTCAAACCCTTGAAAGTTGGCTACAAGGAAGAAATCAAATTCTTAACTGCAGTTTAAAGCTTTTGTGCTTCACTGAAGTAGGAAAATTAATTCTCAGATCTACACTCTAATCCTCGTGAAAAAATATTCATACCTGACAATTTGGCATATCACAATATTCTTCTAGCTAAATATGCATTGAGAGATCTTGCAAGAGATGGTTCATATATACCTAAAATAAGTTAGACGCTATTGAGTAGGCAACTTGCCTCCTGCAATTTATTCATCTTGTTGAAGCAGCACAATGCTTCATTATAGGGCATATCATCTAACACATTTGAACTAGGGAACGCCTCAGAGAAACCCAAAATTGTTACATCACTTAACATAGTTGCATACAAACCTTTACTTTGTCAGGCCTAACCATTGCACCACAAAGCGGAGGGCATTGAAAATATCGTGTTCCTTTCACCCTGCAGTATGGCCAACAGATTATGTAACAAATGAAAATAAATAGCACAAAGAAATGACATGGAGAGAAGCACAATGTCTGCTACAAGCATGCAACAGAAAATAAAGCCTGGGCAGCTGACAACATGAATATCAACATAACATAAAACTCTAATTCATAATGTTGAGGGAAACAAGGAATGCTACACCAGCACATCAGTCATGTGAGTGAGGCCCTGAATATAGGTCCTTTAGACTCTGTTATGAAACTATGATGTAAAATGTCAACTCAATCCAAAAAGTTCACCTGGAATTTTCGGATTTTCCCACATTTTTGGTCCATCATTATGCTCAAAGCATTAAATCAGTATCCTTTTATATAGGAAAAAGAATGCCTCCAAAAGAGATAAATTATTTTAATGTGCATTCTCGGTCCAAATAGGACTAATCACTTTAATGCATCTTTGTCAAGAAAAAAAATTCCTAACCGCATGCAACATGAATAAATTAAATATCATTCTTCAAAAGACTTATGATTGAAGAAAAGTATCAATCCTTCTAGGAGTCTCTATCACACCACAAAATGTATATTAACAAGAAAGTAATGTAAAAACCATACAAAAAGGCAAAGAGAACAACAAGAAAATAAGAATATAGAGTTTACATACATGCCATCATGTTTTCCTAATGGTTCATCATACTGAACTCCAATCCAGAAGCCTGGCCCTAATGCTTCTGCTCGACCCACATATTTGACAACCCCTCTTTTCTCCCCTGGTTCAACTTCGCATCTTTCTTCTACCTGATTTGAAACAATGAGAAGAAAAGGTCTGGACCATTAGTTCAAGCAAGCTGGCAAAACAACCAAAAAGACATTTGTTATGTTGAGACAAAGGAGAAAAAGAACAAGGATGTTCTTTACATCTAAGACATTAAATGAGGTTTGCTTGTATGTAAGCTTTATCAAGCATGAAATGGTGAATTTGTTGAGATTTTGGCCTTTTAAAATCCTTTTACATTTCTAAAAGTACGACTAAACTTCTCTTGATTTGCAAGCCTGGTCTGTCAATGAGTTGCAAATGTTTCCACATTAAGCTTGGAATAACTCCTGTTGAAGTTATCAGCATTCAAAGGGAATAAAATGATATGATTTTATCTTGCCCCCTTTTCTTTATCAAAACAAAGCACATCTTGGAATTGAACAATATTTATTTCCTTTAAAAACCTGAGAGTCCAAAACAGTACTTTAATAATTCCACAAAATTGCTAAGTATTGTTGAGGAAGACAAAAGTAAAAATATAGCCAACCTTGATAGTTGCACAGAGTTCTTCCATATAGTTGTCCGACATCTGTAAATGAATTCAAAATTAAGCATGACCAAGACAGCAGTAGCAGCAACAATACATAATTCCACTTCATAATAATGGTAAAGGGATCTTTGCTAGCAACTATTTGTGCAAACTCGAAGTTGATGCCATTAAGGGCAGCTTAAAGATACATAAAATTATCACATAGGAGATACTTACTTTATTCGTAAATGCTGATGAATTCTGAGATGCCATTTTTTCCTTGAATTTCCTAAAAGTACCTGAACCAACAAAAAACCATTGGCACTAAATGATAAATTTCAGTTCAATAACATTGCGAAATCAGCTTTTGCCGTTAAATTACCGGAACGTTTATTGTATTCCTCTTCAGAAATGGAGTACTTTTCAACTAGTGAAGTATCTTCAAGCCATCCTCCAGAGGTTACTGATGAAGGATCAAGATCTATAACGTGTATTCGGAACCTTTTTTATCAAAGAAATGGAATCAAAAGGCAATAAAATATGTTTTGGAGATGGTAACTGATAAACTTAGAGTTAAAAATGAAAATCAAAGGGAATTGGCAAACACTACTAACCCATCAAGTGGAGAATAGAAACCGAGAGGTCTTGAATCATCACTCAAATCACAAAGTTTATTCTTACAATCATCGTAAAGCTCTAACCGCATTGAATTCAAGGAAGTCCCGCATTTCTTCCACAGCTTATCTTTCACTGCTTCCACGTTCATCTTTAAAAAAAAAAAAAAGACAAAGGAAAGAAAATTGTTCATCTTTAAACGAAAGAAAAACGCAACCTCAGGAATAATTGAAGTTAAAACAAAATAGTTGACATTGTCGGAAAATGGAACCTGAAGAGAGAACCGAACGTCGGCGGCGAAGTTCTTGAGGTTGGAGTGACTTACTCGGAGCAGCACCGAGTCATCGCCCTCAATTTGCAACCGCGACGCCATGAATCTTTGGATTTTTTTTTTTTTTTGCGTTTAATTTTGCGGATTCAAAATTTTAGAACTATGGGCGTGTTGACACTACCAGGGGTATTGTGGGAAATGTAATGACTAAACTGAGACAGAAATGACATTTCACAGTTGTGAATTGAAACATCAATGAATGTGCAACGACTCAAAAGACAATTTTCAAGTGATGATCATCAATGGCGGCACTAAGAAGGTAAACCCAAAACCCTAACATTGATCTTCCGTCGTCAGGGAAATGGCATCATCGCTCTCTCTCAGGCCTTTCTTGTCCTCCATCTGCTCTGTTCCTAACCACAAGAACGTGAGGCTCTTTTTAACTTTAAATTTTCCTTAAGACGATTTTCAATTTCCTTCTTTCAGTTTTATGTTTGGTTTTAATCTCAGAAAATGTGGAGCACTGGGGAACTTTTTTAATCCAATATTAATTCTGGTAATTCCTGATTGAGGGGTTTTCTAACATTGACGTTGCTTGATGAGAGTAATGTTAAATTAAAAAAAAAATGAGAGCTTTGAATTTTTTTTTTTTGTATTTGTATAAAATAACAAATAGTACTAACAATCTTCAATAATTAAATTTTAAAAATGTTTAATGTTTTTGGAGAACAAAATGCATGAATTTTTTTATATTTTTTAGTTAGAATAATTGTGTTAGAATTTTTGTTGCATTTTAGCCATTTGTTCATCCTTAATCAATTATGATTTTGATTCTTAACAACTTTTTGAGAAGCAAAAATCAAGTAACAAAAGCAACAATCAAATACAGCCTTTGCAGTAAAAAAAATGTTGGCTTAAAAAACATGATTCTATTTGTTATTTATGTAGGGTCCTTTGCTAGAGAATTTCCCAAGAAGTTTAGAGGTTAACAAGGAATTATATTTAGAGAGAAGGCAGCTGTTGTCCGGAAAGCAATTCAGATTGAATTGTTTAGGGCACAGAGACATGGATGTGAGTGCTTCAGTTTTGGTTGATTCTGTAACAGAATGCTCAGCTGGTTTGTGCCATTTATTAGTTTATGGTTTCTTAATTTATGGTAGCCTTGGTGTTTGTGATTGTTATTTTATATTCTGTGTTCTGTTGAAGAACTGAATGTTGAGGACCAGGAGCCTAGCATTTCGACGTTGTTGATGAATATTGAGAGTAACTTTGATCCCTACGGTGCAATGAGTACACCCCTTTATCAAACTGCTACGTTTAAGCAGGTAAGCCTATTGAAATATTTTAGTTTTTGTTATTTAATTGGTTATCTATATGCAACACTTCAGAAAGAAAGGGAAAACTTAAGAACTTAATATATTCTTGTGGTTTGGTTTTGTAAATTAATTCATCTATACATGCAACCAAGGCTACAGCCTAAAGGTTATGAAATTACGTTTGAAGGAAAAGGGTTTAAGCATCTGAATTTTCAATGTTTAATATTTTCAGATTGGACTTGATGTTAATGTCATTGAACCCTTGACCTGTGGTTTACATTTGTTTGTGCAACCTCCATCTACAACAAAGTGAGATTTATGCTGTATAATCTCGAACCTTTTGATTGCTATACTGGTGTTTGCTTGTGCAAAGAGCAGTGCCTCCACTGGCTGAAAACTTAATATGCATAAGGTTAACAAAAAAATAGCAATGGCAATAGTGTAAATTACTTCCATACTAAGAGTGCTAGGACAGAGAGGAAGGGCTGATACTGAATCACGTCTTGAAATTTTTATTATCTAAATAATTGATTCTTTTTAGTTTAACAGTTCCTTTGCAAAAAGCTGTTGTAGTTTGATTTTTATACTAAATTTCTAGCATAATGAGTCACATTTGAAGATAATAGGTTGAATCATGTAGTGTATGAAATGAGATGACACATATCCAAGATCAATCTGGTTCCTGTATTCTATGTCAGTTGTTTGGATTGGTTTTCATGTACCCTGCACTCTGACATCAGTCATCTTTTTCTTTTCATCATGTGATGCATATTACTTTCTTTGGAAAATCCAGAAGAAATGTTCCCTCTTCTCTCTCTCTCTCTGTCTCGCTCTCTCGCTCACTTGCACGCATGCTCAAACTCATATGCTCATTTATACAGCAGACAGGAGTGCTTATTATCTATTTCCAGCATGTATGTGGCATCTCACTTGGATGAGACTTTGATTACTGTTTTTTATACTTTGTTTTGAAGCCTTCAGCAATTGAAAATGGGCCCTATGATTATACTAGAAGTGGAAATCCTACACGGGATGTTTTGGAAAGGTGTAATTTTGCATTTTGGCATACTCAGCATGGTTGAAGTACTTTTATCCATCATTAGTGAAACCACTCATTTTACTTTCTTTCATGTTCTTTTCTGGAGTGTTAAGCTGTTTGTGTTCTTATCTCATAGGCTCTTAGCAAAGCTTGAAAAGGCAGATCAAGCTTTTTGCTTTACTAGTGGAATGGCTGCTTTATCAGCTGTTGCTCAGCTTGTTGGAACTGGTACTTTTTTTTATTACTTTTGTTGATTCTTTTTTGCAGTATATTTCATTTGAGTTCTGTAATGCCTTATAATCTCATACGACAGTTTGAGACTTGTTATGCTGGTGTTTTCTCATCTGCAATACTATGTTTAAATCTGCTTTTTCCCCTTTACTATTCATTGTGTAGTTATAAGAGTCAGACTTTTTCCTTTCTGTTTATGGTCCTTGATATGTGCGTGTTTTGCATATTTACTTGTGTAAATCTATAGTTTATTTCTGTTACAGCCTTTCATTCCTTTCATGCACTTTAAGCAAACCTTAATAATATTTTTTTTTTCTTTTAGGTGAAGAAATTGTTGCTGGAGATGACATCTATGGTGGTTCTGATCGTTTATTATCTCAAGTAACTCCAAAATCTGGAGTTGTGGTGAAGTTAGTATATTTTCTTCTTTTGATCACTGTGTTCCTGCTGCTATAGAAATCTGAGATAAATTGCTTAAAATGTTTAGACGAGTAAACACCAGTGATCTAGATGAAGTTGGGGCAGTTATTGGCCCCAAGACAAAGCTTGTGTGGTTGGAGAGTCCTACCAACCCTCGACAACAAATTGCTGATATTCATGTGAGACATTTTGCTTTTCTTAAATTATATGATCTTTATATTCACAAGAATGTTTAGATTTTGTTGATTCCTCTGTTGTACTAGTTCAATATATGCTAATTTGACATTTTCCTAAAATGAATAAATATAATAATGCATCTGTTATGCTTTTCCATGCATGACGAGGTATAGTAGGGTTGTGGATGATTTAAATTTATTTTCAGTTTGTATACCCTGAATCATTTTTGTTGTGGTTATATGCATGCACGTATTTATACATAAATTGTTTATTCATTTCGAAATCATAATTCCAGGTGGTCCCTAGCAAATTGATCTTCTGTGTTTGTTTAATTTCCAGAGAATTGCAGAAATGGCTCATGCTTATGGGGCTCTCGTGTTGGTAGACAACAGTATTATGTCCCCAGTATTGTCGCAACCATTAAAACTTGGAGCAGGTATCAACAATATACATTGTTGTCGGTTCAGTTTGAAATTTTTAATGGAGTATGATAATATAATTTAGATAGTTGGTAATTTTGATTGCTTCATCTTGTTTCAGACATTGTGATGCACTCTGCTACTAAATTTATAGCTGGACATAGTGACGTCATGGCAGGCGTGCTCGCTGTTAAAGGAGAGAGGTTGTAGTTCCTTTCTATGCAATTATATTGTACATCTCGGAGATTATACCTATCTTAAAATTTGTAATATACATTTAAAGATTGATCAATATTTGATGATTTGAAATCTTTATGACCATCTTTGCTTTCTACTTGGATGTGGAAGAATGTTTGCTTTATCTTCCTTTCCCCTTGGTTAAGAAAAGGAAGAAATGGGTATTAAGACTATTTTCCAATAATTGAGGTTAAGACACTAACATCAAACATGTAACCGGAGGAGGGGGTGATATAAAATGTGATTTCCTTTGACTTTGATTGAAAGACTTCATATCCCAACTTCATTGTTGTTTCTCATAATTTTTTATTGAGGTCTTTGGAGGAGAAAAAGAAATAATTGTTTAAATTTATATTGTCAAAGAATTGTTGCTTTTTCTGACCAGATGATGCTTCAGAGGAAGATGCTGATTGAATAATTAAATTATTTGAGGGATTTCATTTTTTTAGTGTGTATGTATTCTTATAGGACCAATTGCAATTTATATATATATATATATATATATATATATTAGCTATTGTTATTTGGGTTATCTATATTTATTTATTCCTGCTTGGTTACTGAATTCTAGGATTGTAGTCTATAATTTACTTATGGTATTTTCAGTTTCTGTTGCTTTTGATGATGACCTGTGTCTAATTAAGTCTTAGAAGATTAGAGGGTGGCCTTAAGTAATTCTTTCTTGAATTTTGAAGAACTAATCTTCTTCACAGTTGTGCTATCATTTAGTTGGAACCTCTGCATCAGTTTTCTCTGAACCAGAGACAATCTTTTCTCAAATGGCCCTTTTTCCAGAATTAAACATCAATTTTTATTTAAATATTAAGTATTATAGGAAGCTTGTGGAAGTAAAAAGAATTCTAAATTACCGAATGTTCTGCTTGATTGGTGTCCTAGATGAACTCATTATTATGCCAAATTAGGAACAAAACCCATACCAAGAGATTTTGTCTGTCTCTCTCTCAGGAGTTCTATCATCTCTAATCGCTTGCTCTTCCCTGCTCATCTAAAATGGCATAGTCTTGATTTGGTTATTTGAAAAATTAATCAGCTCATAAGTTTTAAAAAGAATTATCGAATATAGCCAAAATAAGTCTTTTTGTTTTCAAGTTTGTATTCCCAAATTTGTTTTCTTTCTTTTAGCAATTCTTCAATCTTGCCATGTATTATACACATAAGAGTGCTCTTTCATAGAAAAGAAATTGTTTATTTGTATGCACCTTTTCTTCTGTAGCTGTTATCCTTAAACTCTTTTCATTCTTCTACTAAAGTATTTAACCTTCACTTACTAGTTAAGTGTTTATTGGGCATATTTCCTTATACTTCCCTTCCCAATTCCTAACACCATTTTTCCTTTTACTTTCACCAGCTTGGCAAAGGAGTTGTATTTCCTACAAAATGCAGTAGGCTCTGGGTTAGCTCCTTTTGATTGTTGGATCTGTTTAAGAGGTATCAAGACCATGGCCTTGCGTATTGAAAAACAACAGGTGATGCTTTAAACATTTTTAAATGCAGCATGTAATGTTATTGAGTATGTATTTGGTTGAATGATGCTGCTTTGTCTGATGTTTGCTATCTTCTGTGTGTTGTCATCATATGGCAATCTGCTTCATGTAGGACTTCAAAAAATGGAATAGGCTAGATATATTATTTGGCCTATCCTTATACAGCACTAGTTAAGACGTAACAGATGTGACTAATTATGACAATTTGTTTAAGTAAACTTGTGAAGGCCTTGATATGGAGAAAGAGGGGGTTCTGAATCTACTTATCCGCACCATGTGTTAATGCAGAGTCATATTTGTTGAATGTTGGCAATTAATATAAAAAAAACTACTGGGAGCATTTTATATGTTTGGATCACCTTTTGAGTTGTTTGATCTAGCATGGGCAGTTTTTGACTTTAAGATATGTCTCTATGTCTGGGGTCCATATCATAAGGAGTTGGTTAAGGTGTTGAAATGCTTATGCTCTCTCCCTACCTTCCTTTGCATCCTTTATTCTTTCTTTCCTTTTTCCTTTTTTTATCATTTTAGATGGTGAACCTCACCCCCTCCCTTCTCTCTTTTTCTCTTTTTGACAGCAAAATCTTGTATATGTATCTGTTTATGTGTAGGTCTGCATGCATCTTAATCTCATCTCGTTGCTGCTACATAGCATTTTATAAGATTTAAGAAAGAAGAAAGTTATTTGTTTAGAACTGTACTTTTTGGGGTAGATTTGGATTGAGCCTTGGGCTACACAATGGTTGGTAGCCCTTTCCCATCGCAGGATTCAAACACGAAATCATCAAGTTGAAGTCTCAAGTTCTAACCACTAGGCAAGGGTGAAGCAAGAAATTTCCCATTAGAGGGGCCCGACATATATATAAAAGTAAAAGTAGTTGACACTATAATTAATATCAATATATTTATCATATTGATTGAAAAGAAAAAATTTTTTATTTAAGGAAATCAAAGATCATATGTAATAATGCATAGATGTAAAATTTAAAAAGAATCAAGCTAAATAATGAGGCTCAAAACTAAAAAGGTTAACAAATTTATCATATTAATGTACAAATTTTATAAGGGGTGCAAATTAAAGAAATAAATTTCTTTTTTTCTTGTGGGTGAGAAAAGGTGAAGTCATGGGATTTGCAATAGCTTAAGGGGGGCCATGCCCCCCACCCCCACAGATTCGCCTCAGCCACTGGGGTGATCCCTTGACGATGTTTAGATTTGTACCTTGACAAATTAGACACACTGTTCAGTCATTGTAAACTTTATGCTAACATTATTTTTGCAGTGATCATCTTCTTTAGTTAAGGGCTACCGAAGAATTTTAGTATTAGCTATGTTCTGGCTTTAGCAATCTTCTATGTCTATATGTTACTATTTTCGTTGCAGTTTCAACAGTTGAAATCTGCTCAAGTTCAAACTTGAAACTAACGTTTCTGAATCTCTTAACAGGAAAATGCACAAAAGATTGCTGAGTTCCTTTCTTCCCATCCACTAGTGAAGAAAGTTAACTATTTGAAACTAACATTTCTGAATCTCTAACAGGAAAATGCACAAAAGATTGCTGAGTTCCTTTCTTCCCATCCACTAGTGAAGAAAGTTAACTATGCTGGTCTTCCTGATCACCCTGGACGTGATTTACATTATTCTCAGGTGCTGGAAATAGATGTAAATTCTACTCCTTATGTTTAACATCTTAGCATTAAATACCCCAAATTTGCTCTTGCAGGCAAAGGGTGCAGGATCTGTGCTTAGTTTTTTGACGGGTTCTCTGGCACTCTCAAAGCATGTTGTTGAGACTACTAAATACTTCAGCATAACAGTTAGCTTCGGTAATAACACTTCCTAACCAAAGTATATACATGCCTTGCATAATTCTTAATCTTAAGCAATTGGTTTTTTAGTGTTATACACATGGCCTAGTCTATAATGATGTCAAAAATCTGTTTTATGTGAGGATCCCTATGGTTCTCCAAAAGCATATAATGCATTTATTGAACTTCTAGTGCTTTAAGACAAATGTTTTTCCCTTAAAAAACAATAGTTCTTTGTAGTTACAAACATGCCGATTTCAACTGATAAAGTATCTTGTATGATGGGATTTATATCCCTTGCCTTAATAGATTTCATTCCTTGAAGTAGGAAGAAAGGGGGGAAAACTGTCCCAAAAAGAAATTTAAAAATGAGAAAAGAGAAAGAACAGAATCGAACTTGAGTGCGAAGGTTAAATTGTAAGATGGTATAGATGCATGATTTCAGTCTTAAAAATTTTGATGGAACAACAAAAGATAGTTTCTGCTGGGAGATAATGTTTAGCCTGTTAAAACATGCATGCTTTTTATGGATAATATTTTCATATTTTATATCACATTAGATTACTCTGACTTTTATATAATAATAAGTCAATTGAGCAAAACTGAGTATGTGATTGGTGGTAATGATTAGGGAGTGTGAAATCCCTGATAAGCATGCCATGCTTCATGTCGCATGCGAGCATCCCAAGTGCAGTGCGTGAGGCAAGAGGTCTAACTGAAGATCTTGTTCGGATATCCGTTGGGATTGAGGATGTAAATGACCTCATTGCTGATCTGGACAATGCCCTCAGAACTGGCCCTCTTTAGGTACTAGATTATTAAGCCATCAATGTTAGTATTTGCATGTTATGTTGTGACTTGTATTTATTTAGGTTTCTAGTAAGTTATTTTTGGTGTATGGTATGGAGTTGGGCAACGCATGTTCTGTTAGTGTTTAGCGTGGGGTTTCCCAGACCCTTCCAGCTCCGGCAGAAAGTGAGATTCGAAAGTTAGGCCGTTGAGATCAGGTTTTGTTAGCGATCAATGTGCCCAATAAGCATTACTCTTACTATGAGTTCTCTGGATGTAAACTTCTTATTAATTGGGAAGGAGCTTACCTAATCATTTCACTTGCTTAGGGAGTAAGAACGGGGTTTAATATTATTCATAAAACTGAGAATTAATTGGTAGTGATTGATTATTAAGGTGATGAAAAATTATGATTAATATTTGTATGAAATGAAAAAAAAGTGTTTTCAAAGTGTATTAAAAGTTATCTATATAATTTTTTAAAAAAATAATATCTAATTTTTTTGAATTATTTCAAAAAATGTAAATAAATATTTTTTTTATTACATTCAAATAAGTTTTTATATAATTACTTTAATTTAAATGGGTTTTTACAATTAAGGATTGATTAGTCGTTAATAATCAAATCGTTATTTGTATATCACATAATATTTTATGGTGACATAATATATTGATATGTTATGATCACATGACATTTTAACTTTTCACATTTATACCATATGATATTTTAATTAATAACAGTCAAACATTAATTACAAAGAAATTCATTTTACTTTTAAAAATATTAATTATAAAGATTTTTTCGACTTAAGATAAAAATATAAAGATTTAATTGAAGAATAAAATATATTTAATTTTTTTTTAAGTCAAAGAAAGAATTATTTGAGATAGGAATGTACAAACCCGTTAGTATCTTGGTTGCTCGTAAGCTTCTACAATAGGACGGTAGCTTGGGCATAAAATTTTCATATGTTAGGCTTTAAATATTTTGGGTCGGGGAGTCTACACAGTAGTTAGGCGTTACTTAAGGTTAGTTAATTTGCACTACTATAGAAAAGATGGGTAGGGATAAATCAATTACCCTTTTAGGAAAGGTTTTTGCATTTAATTTAATATGATCTCAGAATAATAGCTTTTTGGTAAAGTTGACGGCTGTTGCATACACCTAGCAAAGCAAATCATATTTGCAATAGTAATTAGAATTTGAGCTAAATAATGGCATGGTCACCTTCAGGGCAAACTGCACCGTATTTACAATTCTGCATATTGATTCTTCACAAACTTATACCCTTTAACAACACAACAAATTTGGACAAAATATATTATCCCACAATCCCATTCCAAATCAAAAGGCATTAGTTATGTAGTCGTCAACAAAATGTCCTGTTGATAGGACTACCATAACCATATCACACCAGACTGCTACTAGATTCTAAGCCAAGCCAAAGCTGATTCAGGTAAAGTCGCTCCCACCGACTCCCATGGGCACAAAAGAACTGAGTATGAAGAACTTAAAATCTTTTCTTTTTTTTTTATCCTCTCGGATCCATCCTATTGTCAATTTTGCATAACTACAGAATGATGTCAGTGAACTTCTATCCTTCAATCAAAGGAGTTTTGACTTCTAAAATGCTATATACAAAACCCTTTTGCCTAGGGGAGCTCTTGTTTGTACCTGCATAAAGCATTGGATCAAATACATGGTCAGTGATTTGTTACGAAACAAAGAGTCTAAAACATAACATGCATTGCAATTTGAGACACAAGAATCAAAATATTATGATCACATTGACTACCTTGTAATAAAATGATTACAACCCAATCCATTGCTTAAAACTCAAACAAGTTGAAAGAAGATCATAAACAAGTTAACTAGCATATGTGCGGTGCAAGAGTTAGTTTCATTTCAATCTATGCATGCATTTTCTTGCGCTTAAATGGAGCTCACCAAATTTAAATTGAAGAATGAACTAGATCATTATACCAAAAACACCAAATGCAATCAATTAAAGTTGAAAGAAGAGCATACAAACTTATCAATTTGCTGAACACTAAACAACTTGGTTCTATTCTCTGTAACTTACCAGAGAAAAACGATGTCAAGCAGAGAACAAGAGGTGACGAGCAGATAACCAACTAGATTTTCTACTCATAGTTAAAATTTTAATACTTGGAACAAATATATAAAATAAAATATACATGGCTCAAATCAAAGATTAGGTAATACTCAGTTGTTTTATGATATGATACAGCATAAAAAACCCTTGAGAAAAAGAAAATGAAGCTGAGGAAAACCCATAATATTGGTGGTAAATCATCTTAGGAGATGCAAAAACTTTTCTCAAAAGGATTCACCATGCAAGTAAATTCCAAAATGTTGCTAGCAGAGCAGATAAATGAAGAGAAAAAACAATACCATTGACATTGTAGGGCTATTCATTTCTAAAATCTTCATAACTCAATCCTTCTGATATTGTGTCCAACCTTTTGTTGTCTCCTACAAGACAAAAATGTCACTCTTCATAAATTACAACCAACAAAAATTCAACAAACAAATATTTGAATGAGGAGGAAGGGGAGATAAGAGTATCACCTTGATGTTCTCTTTCACGAGAATCCAGGAAACTTTCATTATCGATTGCTAAAAAGGGTGACCGGGGATAGCTCTCCAGTATATCTGAAATTATTGTACATTAAAAATTAATAGGTTATTCTAAAAACATTTTGATTTTCATAAATGAAGTATCTAATGCTGACCGGGCCAAATACTTGCTTATGCACTAGGCACATATTTTACAAAGCTAACCCATAATAAATCCCCAAACTCAGCTCAATCCAGCACAATATGTAAAATAGACTCGTACACAGAAATGGATGCACACAAACATGCTTACATGCAGACAAATATATGCAGCATGGGATACATTCATGCACCCACGTAAACTAAGAGATACCTGAACTCTGAGAAAAGTCAGCTGTAAGATCTGAAAGACTAAAATTGCGAGGGATCTGGCCTAAATATCCAATTGAAGAAGTGTCAGCATCCATAAGTGGTTCATTCAGAGGCTGTGAGCTTGATTCTACACTACTGAAAGACGTATCCCCAATTGTTGGACGTGCCTCCAGAACATTGCTCTCAGTACCAAACATGTAAGCAGAACTGCCTGAATAACCAGTTTCTGATTTTATCATTTTCCCATTTATTCCTTGCATCAGACCCATGTTTGAATTCTGAGTTGAAAGCATGGCTGGTGGAGCATCAATCCTGGTGGCATGGGTAGGCAGCTCAACAGCGGCATGCATTCCAGCATGCAATGATGAACTACCATTAGTGAATACATTAGGCAAACTGGAGCCAATGGGATGGTGCATGTTCTCCTGCTTCAAAGATGGTCCTGAATCCTCTGGGCCATAGCAGGCTGAGTTCTGGGGCACTATAATAGAAAGTTAAATCAATAGAAAGGAAATGAAACTTCAAGAAAGCCAAAGCTTGGCTTTCAGATTGTCAGCAAATCAACTTAGGGAAACTCAATAATTAGTTATTGTAATAACTAGTACACCAACTATTACCAATGGTGATTGTTCAAATTATCAATGGATTGCAGCATGCGCAAAAATTAATGAAAAATTGCAAGAAAAATAAAAGAAGATCGAGGAATTTAAAAGGCCAAAGCAAGGTGAGCAACATAAGAAATTTTCCTCCAACTGATCTCTTTTATCAAAAGTGGATATGGAAAAATAAGTGTAGAAGAAGTAATGCCCATGATGTTTAAGCCTTCCAATATCCAAATTCCACATAGCTATTGATATGGGGGAAGCTAAAACAAAGCTTATGCAGATTGTAAACACTCGGCAGAAGCACTTCATTAAAGAAGAATTTAGACAAAGACCTCACTTCTTCTCTCTTCATTAGTCCTTACAGTTATAAAATAGCATCAAAACCTACCCTCCATATTTGTTTCTTTTAACCAGTGTCTGCTAGAAAATGTATAATAATTGATTAATAAATCAGACCTCAACAGAAGAAAATGCATGTGCAGAAACTGCCAATTCCACAATTTCGGAGCATGCCCATGCAATTAAACACAAATATAAAATCAACATATCCAACCAGGAAAAAAGCAGTCTTACTTGGTGGCAAGCGAAGTCCATTAGAATTAGACACTGAAACAACCCCAGTTGGATGAATCTGGGGCATCAATCGCACCTGTTGCTCAAGCAGCTTGTTGAATTCCATTATTTGTTGCTTCACCATCAATCTCAGATAATAAGCCTGGAAGAATTCTCTATTCTCTTCTTCAAGCTTTTGCCAAACTGAAAAGCATGAAAAATTTGTGAAAGGAAAAAACAATAATACTAATAACATGTAATGACAGTAAAATATTGGCATAACCTTGTGATTGCCAACAATCTATCCATCTACAGTTGACCAACACTACTTACCCAACGAGTATACTGGATTAGGAGGGTTTGAACTGTCCAGTCCATAATCTTCCCTTAGAAAGGAATTTACCACAAGGGCCAGCCCATCTATATGAGAAATGGCTACTGAGTTGACACCCCTGTTTCTAACTTAGTAGGACCTACTTTTTTTTTTCTTTTTGGAAGGGCTGGCAGATGGAAGGCAAAGCCCAGGCATGGATTTAGCATATCTCTTTTTATAATTTCTGTAATATATGATTTATAATAGGCTATAGCTATCAACCTACTGGAGTTCAAAAAAGGATGGACAACCTAGACAAAGTGTGAAGGGTACGGCAAAATAAAATATTTAAACTGTCTGTTACCAAGTTCAGTAAAACCAGGCTCAATTTTAGCCTGAGCCAGCAGAGTTTCCACAACTTCCTTCTGCGTCATGTAGAGTTGAAGACATCGTTCTATAAGATTTTGAACCTGAAATCACACATATACAAGCAAGAACACTGTCAGCTACTCTGGTTAGCATACTACCTCTCAGCCTCCATGCCAAACAAATCTAAGACAGTAGAAAAACCTCCATACACAAACACAGAAGCATGAACAGCTTCAAAACAAGTAGAACTAACAGCACATCACATGTACATCTTAAATTTTGCTAAAGAATAAAATAAAAATCATTTCATGCAGTTTGTGCTGCTTCTCCTTTATCCGCTCCTCTCCCCTTAGTGTATGAATAACTAATACTCTGTCAAGAACTTAATTTCTGATAGCCATCAAGAGGAGATATATGACAGGCAATACTTACATCAGTTAAAATTATTAATTTGCCCAGTTTTATAAACTTTCCATAGTTAGCACACGAAGAAGCATTCATTGCTAATTGCTACGTACAATCAGGAACAGCGTTATAAACTCCATACAAGCCTTTCAAAAAAAAAAAAAAACTCCATACAAGCAGAAATTTAAGGAAACAGAACCCAAGACAAACCATTTCTCCAGTATTTCCACAAGATGATTGATCCAAAAATACAAGTCAACAACACAACATTTTATTTTGATACAAAATCTACTGACTAGCCAAACAGTCACATCTGACAAAAATTCAAACATGATTACTGTTTAGCAACCCAATGATTTGTTTGCCTGTATTTCCATTTCACCACTGTTTATTGGAGATTTAGATACCTGGATAAGGTTTATTTTTCTCTGCGATGTTGGAAGTAGGGGAGATCAGGTGGATTAATCAGGTGGCGAATAGATAAAGACTGAGAATAGAGGCTGGTAGTGATATCTACAGATGAATAAAAGCAGCCCCTCCAAAAATTAGATCAAAATAGAGCTATAAAAAATATCTGCGGAGATCTCTAGGCCTGTAAACTTTTGTTTATCATGTCAGGTGTCACTTTCCTTAAAGATCTCCACTTACCTCCATCTTTAGTATCTTTCCACTTTATGGTATAAAGCAAGCTATCTTCTATTCCTCTTTCACCTTTGTCTTTGCACATATATGCGATTATTCATTATTCATAAAACTAGTCAGAAATACAGATTTTAATGACTTACAAATTAAAAATGTTTTATTGTTCTTAAAAAAGATTCAATTGCTTTGCAGATATTTGAGACCAGTATCTGACCTAACCAAGGACCAATTCCATAAATCCAAAAGTAGATTCCACAACTTCAATAATTTAGGCTATGCTTTTGCTTTTAAATTTACACTGTATAAACATATCAAACATATTTGTTCTGCTTCTAATTATTTCCATCAAATAGTACTTTCCTCTAAACAGCTCCAAAATTTCAAATTCATAGAAACATCAAAAAAAAATTCTGAAAACATGAATTACCAACTAAACAAACATATCTGCACAATTGCACTAAATCCACAGTAATGACCTCACTCCACTCTAACCAACATAAAGTAATAATTTTAGCAAGATATATAACTTTTCAAAAAGCAAAAAGGGCAACTAACAAAAAAAATACATAAATCCATACCTACAACAAGATTAATACATAAGCATACAATTTATTATACACAATCATTCACTAATTGTAAAGATCAAGCTCAACATCTTACAAGCTGTATATCTTGACGTGAAACCCTCCTTACTGATCCAGTTGACATATCTTTTACTAGATGTTCCAGACAAAAGATAACAACTATACCAATAATTACAAATTATCTTCCCAAGATTACCGAACAATGAGTCAGGCAATCTTTCATGCAGCAATATACCTGAAAACGTGGTCAATTTGACATCAAATACCCAAAAAATAAAAATAAAAAACCCAAATACACAGGAATAAATAATTAAATATAAATAGACAACGTTCTTTCCAATCCATTTTTATCACTAATTTAACAGCAACTTGCGTAGTCCAAAATCATAACTACCAAAAAATTTAAATAATTTAATAGCAATCAAATAAGAAAGAAAATATTAATTTGACAAATAACACACAAGATTATTTGATCATATAACCACAAGATTTGATTAAAAAAGTTAGAAAATTACCTCAAAGGTATCTAATTTCGTCTAACAGTAGCAGTTTAAAGCGTTGATCAACCTGAAAGGTACATAATTAAATATTTTACGACAGGAATTTTTTTTTTTTAATTGAAGAGAAAAGACGGTTAAAAACGTAAAATAAGGCGGAAAATTCGCAGCGGATATAAAATTGAGGAAGTAATTTCACTTCAATTACCGGCGGCATATAAACACACGCAGGGTTTATTGGATAAAGAAACGAATCGGATACGTTTCGAACGTTTAATAAAATAAAAAAAAATGGGAGAAAAAATGGAAAGATAAAAGAATTAAGGTTTCTCACCTGGAAGGCGATCCGTACGAAAACTCGGGTAAGCTAAGAAAAGTTTTAAAATCGGCGAGAGAATTTAGAGAGGAAACAGAACCGACGATCATAAAACCGGAGGACAGAAAAGGTGGTGGTTTTATATTTTACCTTAAAAACGCAGTGGATAGTAGTGGCAGAAGATTCTTGGCTTTAGGACTTTGCACCTTTTTGTTCTTTTTCTTTTATAAGAGCCTGTACTGTTCATTATTGTGGATTCCATTTGGGCTTATTTTTTGTTTTTACTTCTTTCTTTACGGGCCTCTTAACTTTCGGTATAATAATTTGCTTCTCAACCTAGCAAAGTGTTTAGTGTCGTGGGCCAAGAGTTTAGATCAATCCAATCACATCAAGCAAGCCGGCAATTTAAATTCGTCCAGAGGCTAAAGATGTCAGGTTTAAATATGAGATTAAATTTATATGCCAAAAATATAAAAATCTATTTAGTAAGTTATTTACAAAATAAATTATATAAATTTTAATTTTAATTAAAATTATCATAAAAGATATTTATATCACTTTTAATTACTTAATAAATTAAAATAAAATAATTTTACTTTAAGCTTATATATGATTTCAAATGTTAAAATTAAATAAATTCATACAAAAACAGAATAGTTCTCAAACTTTGTAGAGTGATAATAATATTAGTTTTTTGTTGATCTAGTAAGCAATTAAACCATAATGCGTCCATTCCCTAATAATATTAAAATCTTTTTTGGTAAAGAAGAGAAAAAAACCATTAAATAGTACTTATATGCAATTTTGAATTTAATGTCAAGAGTTTAGACTAGTCTAGTCACATCAAGCAAACTAGTAGTTTAGGTCTGTCAAGACACTCAAGATGTCAATGACATAAACATGAGGTTAAGTTTATGTGCCAGGAATAGAACAAAAGTTTGATAAGTTATTTGTAAAATAAATTATATAAATTTTAATTTTGATTAAAATTATCATAAAAAATATTCATGTCATCTTTAATCACCTTATAAATCAAAACAAGTCTACTTCTAGCTTATATACGATTTCAAATGTTAAAATTAAATAAATTCATACAAAAATGGAATAGTTCCGAAACTTTATAGAGCAGTAATAGTATTAGTTTTTTGTTGACCTAACAAGTAATTGGACCAGCTTCCATTCCTTAAGAAAGAAGAGAAAAAAATTAGCATATGACTACAATAAACGAAGTCAAGATGAATTTGGGATTTTCTTGCATTTGGGATTTTGCTTGCCAAGGTAAGGTACTTGCTTCAGCTGATATCAAGCAAATCAATGGGAAAAGTAAGAAACCCAAATGACAAAACTCAAAACAAAAATATCAAAAGAATATCAAGGCAAAACCCCAACAAACGAACGAAGAATAGAAACCTTAAAAGTACCCTACCTTGGCAAGCAAAATCCCAAATGCAAGAAAATCCAAGTAGCACATGCAAGAAGCCAATACATACAAAATCGATATATAACATAAATCAACCAGAGAAGCAGCAAACCCAATTGGCAAGTTTCAAGTGATATCAAACAAATCAATAGGAGAAGTAAGAAACTCATGCACATTTTACTTTAAGATATATGCAAAAAGTCAACTTGAAATTTAAAATCAACAACCCTTATTTCTATTGATATCAAGTAAATCAATAGGAGAAACAAGAAACCCAGGTGACAAAACCCAAAACAAAATCACCAGAAAAATCTTAGGCTAAAACCCCAACAAACGAATTAAGAATAAGAACCCCAAAAGCACCTTGCCCTAGCAAGCAAAATCCCAAATGGCAAAAAACCCAACTGGCATTGATTGCAAAATACTGCATGACAGATGTCACGAAAGAAAAAGATAAAAATAAAAGAAAGAGATCAAATGAAAAATAAAGCCTTGACTATTTCAAGAATGGCATGCGTGTCTCAAGGGTTCAATTGGCCATGCCATGTGACCATCAATTAACCCCTTAATTGTCCTTAGGATAACTTTTAATATATGTGGATGCCCAATCTTATGACAAAACATACATTCAATTATTAGGCAATCAGAAAATTGTGACTTTTTTGTCAATAATTCTTATATAACTTAATGTCAGATTTTTTGTTAATAGCTTGAAATGAGTAGTAGTAAGAGCAATATTAACTTGTGGAGATTTATCCAAGTCAAGATGTGTCTGCTTAAAAATAATTTCTCGAATTGCAATATCTAGTGTCAGAAATAGATACAATGTAGCAACCAGTTTGTTGTGGAAATTGC